ATTATCTTAATAATTTATTTTGAAATAACTTCAAAGTTAGATAAAAGTCACAAGAACCGTACAAAGAACTTTCTTTCACCCAGACTGGTTGATTGTTAATATTCTATTCCATTTACTCCCCTCTTTTTCCCTCCCTCCCTCCCTGCCTCCCTCCCTTCCTCTCCCTCTTCTTTTATGTAGACATGCAGCCCTTGTTACTGTTCTTTTTCTATATCACTCGAGAGTAGCTGGCAAACATGATACCCATTATCCCCAAATACTTGTCGTGTAGATCCCCAAAGAAGAGACTCTAACCACCATCCACATCACCTCTGATCTCTTCCTTTTTATTAATTTTTATGGGAGTATAATTGCTTTACAATGTTGTGTTAGTTTCAGGTGTACAGCAAGGTGAATCCACTATATATATACATATACCCACTCTTTTTAAGATTCTTTTCCCATTTAGGCCGCCACAGAGCACCCAGTAGAATCTCCTGTGCTGCACAATAGGTTCCCATTAGTTATCTATTTTGTCCATAGCAGTGTATTCATGCTAACTCTGACTTCTTAAATGAAACAAAACCTCTACGCCAAAGTCTTCCCTTGTAGCTCAGTTGGTTAAGAATCTGCCTACAATGCAGGAGACCGAGGTTTGATTCCCGTATCGGGAAGATCCCCTGGAGAAGGAAATAGCAACCCACTCTAGTATTCTTGCCTGGAGAATCCCATGGACAGAGGAGCCTGGCAGGCTACAGTCCATGGGGTCGCAAGAGCTGGACACGACTTGGTGACTAAACCACCACCACATGCCAAAGACACTTATTTTGGTTTCCTGCTATGAGTAACTGAATCAAATTCTAATTGCAACCTTCCTTATATGTCGTGCCCACCCTTCCCCGGTGCTCTCTGCTCTGTCCCCCTAGGCCTCCCTTTGATTTCTTACACCTTCCAAGCAACTTTTAGCCTCAGAATTTTTCTTTTCTTTTTTTTTTTTTTAACCAATTGAGGTAAAATTCACATCATGTAAAATCCAGCATACTAAAAGTGAAAATTCAGTGGCGCTGAGAACATTCACCATGTTGGGTAACCATCATCACTTTCTGGGTTCAAAACATATTTATTCACACCAAAAGGAGTCCTCGCACCATTTATGGAGCAGCTGCTCCCGTTCCACCCACTTCTGGGCAACCACCAACCCATTCCTGCGTCGGTGGCTTTCCCTCAGTGGCTGTTTCACTAATGGAATCACACACATGCTGCCTCAGGACTTGGCAGCAGCTGATCCGTCTTCCCAGATGTTCTTCCCTCCTCCCACTCCAGTCCTCTTCCTTAGGAGGTCTTCTTGGGGCCTCTCCTGAGGTCAAGTCCCCCCAGCATAACTTTCTCATAAAAGCCCAAAGTTTCTCTCTGGAGCATTTTTTTTTTTTTCACAATTATAATTGCTCTGCGTGGTAATTTCATTGGGTTTCCCTAGTGGCTCAGATGGTAAAGAATCTGCCTGCAATGCAGGAGACCCGGGTTCGACCTCTGGATGGAAAGATCCCCTGGAGGAGGGCACGGGCAACCCACTCCAATATTCTCAGCTGGAGCACTCCGTGGACAGAGGAGCCTGGTGGGCTACATACAGTCTGTGGGGTTGCAGTTCATGTTCTTTATGTTAAGAGTGTAAAGTTTATTAGGCAGGAACATGTGTGACTTGTTTACCACCATTTGCGAGGGCCTCGCCAGAACCTGGCATACAGTACGTGCTCAGTGATACTCTGTAAACTGACTGAGTGGATGAGCGAGTGAGTGTCCTTACAAAGAAAAAGTCACCTCAATCCCCTTTACAGAATTCCTCCTTTACAGAGGAAGAGGCATGGAGACCTGGACTTCATAGCTGGGTTTGGGCTGCTCATGGGGTCTTGGACCAGCTTGGCAGGAAGCGTCATGACTCCTCCATCCACCCTCCCCACTGCATGATGTGATGTGGTCGAATTCATATACATCAGTGACCTGGAGGCCCTGCCCTCCACCCCTCCACCCCCCCCCACCCCGCCCCCTGCACATCACAGCCCACCCCCCCCATTACAGCTCTACCCCTGCACATCACAGCCCCGCCCTCCCTCACCAAGCACCTCCCACATGCCCATATATGGGCATGATGCAGGCAGCTCTGACCCTGGTCTGTGAGGTCTGGGTCTCTGTGACCTCACAATGACCAGGGCCCTCCCCAGGTCTATATAAGAGGCCGCAGAGTCAGCCCCTGTCACAGCCCACAAATTCCACCTGCTCACAGGTTGGCTGGCTCAACCAAGGCGGTATCCCCTGCTCTGAGCATCCAGGCCGAATCCACCCAGCACCATGGCCAGATACCGATGCTGCCTCACCCATAGCCGGAGCAGGTGCCGCCGCCGCCGAAAACGAAGATGTCACAGACAAAGGAGGCGCTTTGGTCGGAGGCGCAGGAGGAGAGGTGAAGAGGGCCCATCCTTGGGGGCAGGGGCCAGGGAGCTGGGGCAGGGCTGAGGGTTTGGGCTGTGCTCAAGTGTCCTCTTACCCTCTCGTTCTCCGCAGTGTGCTGCCGCCGCTACACCGTCATAAGGTGTACAAAATAGTAACCGCACAGTAGCAAGACCACCGCACTCCTGCCTGAAAGATAACCAGCCTTCAAGACCCTCTTGCCACATCTTGAACATGCCACCGTTCCAATGACATGAACAGGAGCCTGCTAACGAACAATGCCACCTGTCAATAAATGTTGAAAGACATCATTCCGCTCTTTGACTCTTTGCTTTGAGGGACTCGGGAGGGGGGGCAAGGAGGGAGCTGGGGACACTGGAAAGAGGGGACACATACACAAAGGATGATTCACGCAGGATCTTGTTCCAAACTCGACTACTCCCAAGTCACAACCCAAACCTGCCTCCCAGCCCCCAGTCCTTTATAGACCCCTTTCCAGTGGGGACGGGAGCTGTGCTGGCTTATGAACACATCCCTCCCCCGGTTCTGGGCTCAGTGGCTTTCTACTGGCAGCTTGAGATGGGCCACAGAAATAGACAAATGTTTCTACTAGGGCTTGCTATCCACCTCCCCGAGAACCAAGAACCATTTCCCAGTTCAAGCTCAATTCACCAGCCATGGATACATCCCATCAATCCCTAAGGTGCCCGATGTTGAGGTTTCCCATTGTTTAAAAAGTTGATGTCTCTGGGTACAGTGAGTAACTTGTCCAGTGGTTAAGCTAAGCTATCATTTAATCAGGAACAATATCCTCATCCCAGGTGGACGAAACAAAAGTAACTTGCTCGACTCAACCGTATGATTCTCTGAGATGTGAAGGTGATTCACGAAAACACTGCTGTCTCCTGGGCTCAGAATTGTCAGATTATTAACACGAGAACTCGGGCCACGACCATCTCATGGCACAGCAATTTGGCACAGGGCGTTTTATCATTGACCAGAACTCTCCGACCCAGTTGCCTAGTGACAGGGCCACAGAAACATCGTGGCCTGACGTCCATTTATGAGCACCATGGAGCACAGGTACTGAGCATTCGCCACTTCCAAGCCTCACACCCAACCTGCAAGGCAGTGTTGATGGCCCTGTCTTGGCAGGTGAGGCCACTGTCACTGAAGATGAACTCGCTTCCATGACCCAACCACTCAATTGGTTTCATAGCCAGTCAGAAAGATGCTGGCAGGAGGGCTGAACATGGACCCCCCTGGGTAGGCTTTTACAAGTAGATCAAGCGCCAGTGGTGGAGATGCTGACTTAGCAGGGTCTCGGGGTAAGGCCTGGGCATTCATATTTTGAACAAGTGCCCTGGGGGAGTCTGAGAGCACTAAGAAGGATAAGAGGCCTCAAAAGTTTCCTATCGCTGTTATAAATCACCACAAACTTCAAAGCTTACAACACAAATTTATTGTCTTACATGGGCCTTATGGGGCTAACACTCAAGGTCCGAGCAGGTTCTGAAGGTTTTTTCAGAAGCATAATAACCTTGTCTTTCCTAGCTCCTTGCCAGCAACTGCATTCCTTGACTCAGGGCCCCTGCCTCCGTCTTCAAAGCCCGTGGCTTAGCTCTGTCAGATCTCTTCCTGTGACCCTCCCGCCTCCCTCTTCCACCTTATAAGGATCCATGTGGTTTTGTGGAACCCACACTGGGCCCACCCAGATAATCTAGGATGACCTTTCCATCTCCTTAAGTCACTCTTAAGAAAGTCCCTTCTGTGTGTCTGCTCACACTCAGGGTCGAGGGCGTGAGGGCATTCGTCTGCCTACCACGTCCTCCCCGCGGCTGCTATGGTTCTGATTCTGGATTTTCATGGGTCATCCAAGCACTGGGAGAGGCTCAGCAGGAGGCCTGGGGTGGAGTGAAGATGCGCACATTTTTGGGGAGGGAAGCATGTGCCCCAGGCTGGGGAGTGGGTGGAGGGCTGAGGGCATATGGACTCTGAAGCCTGGCCTTGGCTCCTTATCTGCAGGCACCATGAGCAAGTAAGTCACTTAACCTCTTCCTGCCTCATTTAAGGAGTGAATGTATGGAATTTGTGGAATTCCTGGCACAGAGTGAGCACAAGATAACCCTGTGGACAGATGAGGCCCCGTCCCAGCCCCCAAGAGGCCACAGCACTGGCTAAAGAGGCAGCAAGGAAGCAGGAACAACCACATGAGCTGGCGGAGGGGCAGGGTGAGGGCTTGGATCCAGACAAGGAGGCTGGCACTCCTCTTCGGAGATGTTGTGCCCTGGTTTCGAGGCACGGGGGACACGTTTTATAGGGTGAGGAGCTGGCTGCACACACCCTGTGCTGCTTTCACAGAAGGGGCCCAGGTGGGGACAATGGTGGGGTGGGGCCGCCAAGTCACAGTGGGGGGGTCCCCTTTATATACAAGTCCCCCCAAAGGGCTGTGGATAGACCCGACCAACACTATTAACAGCAAGAGCAGGGGGCAGGCCTCAGCCTCCTCCTCCTGTCCCCCCAAGGCCAGCTGCCGCCTCAGCCCCAGTTGCCCGCCCGTGACCCCCTTCAGCACGATGGTCCGATGCCGCGTGAAGAGTCCGACTGAAAGTCCACCCGGGCAGCAGGGCTCTGGGCAGCAGGGTGAGACAGAGCACCCGGAAGAGGCGCGGGAACTGAGGCCGGAGGACATCCCGGTCTACGGGAGGACTCACAGAGGCCACTACCACTACAGACACAGGAGCCACACACGGCGGCGCCCCTGCAGGAGGCGCCGGAGACGGGCCTGCAGGCACAGGAGGCGCCGTAGAGGTTCGGCGGGAGCCCCCTGCACTCCCATCCCCGGCACCCCCCAGCCTTCCAGGCCAGGGCTCAGGTGGGCAGTGGGTGGCTCCTGCGGTGCTGGGGCCCCACCTGTCTGACAGCCCCCTCATCCTGTGCCTCCACCCCACCGCAGCAGCCCCCCGACCCCAGATTCCCTAGATGGCCCTGTAACTAGAACTTTTTCCAAAAGGCTGCCGAAGGATGAAGAGAAGGAGGAGGAGATGCGGAAGGCAGCTCTAAAGCTTCCCTGGGCCTACCAGGAAGAGTCACCTGCCAGGAAGCACCTCACAAGACCATTAGCAAATCCCCCTTGGAGCCCACGAGATCTTGAGTTAAAATGAGCAAAAGTCATCTGCCAAATAAAGCTTGAGATAAGAAACTTGCCAGCCTGTCAGGGTCTCTCTTGCACGAAGGCGCAAACACACAGCTTCTATTCTCCGCGGGGTCAGGGGAGGGGGGAGCGGCCAGGGCAGGGGGCTGCGTGCTGGTGTGTTCCCCTGTGAGCCTGGGGGCGCCCGGTCACCTGGAGCCATCAGGACGCCCAGGGCCATGCAACTCCACCTAGACCTTCCCATTTCCGGTCAACTTCCCAGGCCCCTGAAGAACCTGAAAGAGTGCTGGGCAGCGGGGGCAAGTGTGAACTGAGACAAGATGGGAAGCAGGTCTATCGTGCTCCAGCAAGAACAAGGCTGGCATTGGGAAGGGGGAACAAAAGGCAAAGGGCAGAACTGGGTGAGGCGGCATGGGCCACCAGAATTCTGAGATGGGACCCTCATCCAGGACAGAGTCCGTTCCTTCCTCCTACGAGCTTCTGATGGCTTCTTATAAACTTTGGAGTTCCTCTGCTGTGGCCACATCTCCAGTCTCCGCTCCCTGTGTGAAATCTCTCTGCCTCCCTCTAACAGGGACACTTACAGCTGCATTCGGGGCCCACCCAGATAACCCAGGATAATCTCACAATCCTGGGAGGGTCCTTATTCAGCTGACCACAGCCACTGAGGGTTTGGGACAAGATCTAAATTATGGATCATGTCGGAGAATGGATTTCCAGTGCTCAGAAATGACCAGGGAGACTTAATCCCCTTCCTGGCTGAAACTGGGCTGCCTTTAAAGGGTGACTTTGGAGAACAGGAAAGAGTAGAGTTTTCTTTAGTTTTTTTAATCGTAAAAAACATACGATTTAGGTATGTCTGTGAAGGCACCACCCGGGTCAAGACACCAGACACTTCTAGGCCCCCGGGAAGGCTCCCTCTAGGCTGCCTGTCGTCCCATACTGTCGCCAGCCCTCTTGGGCTGGGCACTCCTGGGGTGTGGGGAGGAATCTGTGTGCTCTCCTGCTTGTGGAAATTCTATCCTCAACTCTCACCCCAGCTCAAACGGGCGGGGGGGACCCCTGCCAGGGCACACAAGGCCCTGGAGGCGGCAACACCGCAGGGTGAGGCTGTGTGCCTGCCGTCTCGCCTCGGCCTTGCCCTGTGGCCGGCAGGGCCTCGGATGGGCAGCTGGCGGCCTGGATTGAGTGGGGCGTCGGCTCGGACTCAGGTCACCGAGGGCGGGAGGCTCCGGGGCGGGGGGCCCTTTGTGATGTCAGCGCCCTGCCTACCACCCTCAGTGGCCCCTCTGCACCCCGCCAGTGGCCTTTCCTCCCAGTCCAGAGAGGCAGCTGAGGCGGGTGATGGGTTCTCGCTGTGCCAAGATTGGCATGGGCCACGGCCGCGGCCACGAATACTCCATGAAGAAGCTTGTGGCCTGCGTGAGCCAGGATAACTTCTCCTTGTCGTCGGAGGGCGAGGAGGAGGGGGGCGAGGAGGAGGCGGGAGAAGAGGAGGAGCTCCCGGTGCAGGGCCAGCTGCTGCTGATGGAGGCCGGGCAGCAGGAGGAAGGGGCCGAAGACACCGACTCGGGGGCCCAGCAGGGCCCCGAGCCCAAGCAGACGCGCTCCTGACCTGCGACGCGGCAGGGGAAGTGGAGCCTGCCGCCGTTCCCGAGAGGAGGAGAGCTTTCAGAAAAAAGTCAATAAAGAGTCTCCAAGGAATCCCCCTCCTCCTGTCTGTCCTTGCCCCCGCCACCACCCCCGGCCCCTGTGTCTGTGTCTGTGGGTGTGGGTGGCTGGGTGTGTGTGTGTAGGGAGGTTGAAGAGCAGTGACCCCTGGGTCTGAACCCCAGCCAGAAGTCCTCGCACGGTCCACTCGCCGAGACTGCTCAGCCGCTGTCCCCTGCTGCGGGGGGTGGAGCACGTGGCAGCCTGGGTGAGAAAGTCACCTTAGCGGGTCCCACCTCCAGGGAGGACTCCTCTCCGAGTCTGAGCACCTGGCGGGACAGCGTCATCTCCCTCAGCACACCCCCACTGCTTTTCTAACTGAGGACAGTGTTTTTTTGGGGGGGAGGGGAGTGGTGGTTGCGTCACGAGGCACGTGAGATCTTAGTTCCCTGACCAGGGATCGAACCCCTCCTCCCTGCCCGCTGCAGTGGAAGCACAGTCGGAACAGTTGGGCCGCCAGGGAAGACCCTGGAGAGTCCCGAGAGCACGGACTCCGGAGCTCAGCAGATCTGCCGCCAGCTTTCCTATGCTCGCTGCGTGACACTGAGCAAGTCCCCTTCTGTCCGTTGACACTAGCGACCCCGCAGGTCAGTGGGTCGGGAGGGGTGACTGAGATGCTGGGGAGGGACTGGGCCTGGCACACAGCGAGTGTTTCACCCAAGACGGGCACTGCAGCTGGAGCCACGGGGGTCCCACCTGACTCATGGACCCTGGTTTTGGGGGACAGAGCAGGTAGAGGGGTCTGAGTCCTTCTCAGCCACTGGTTCTGCTGCCAACCTCATGCTCAAGGGGACCGTCGGAACCCCTGCGAGAGGCTCGCTTCTGCCTCGCTCAAGGGGTCCCGCTGTGGGACAGAGCCGATGCCCTCACTAGGGCAGTGGGCAAAGGAAGCCCAGAGGAAGCCAGAAAGGACACAGACCCAGACCTGGGTCCCTCAGGCTGGCCTTCCTTAGAAGCACCGGAATGCGCCTGTTACCCCTCCTGGCCACGGCTCCTTTAACCCTTTTCTTTCCAATAGAAATAACAAACATGATCTCCACCCTCCGCTCTCCACAGCCCCCAAGCACCACTCTGGTGGGCCACTGAGAAGGACTGTGATTGGGGCTGCCGGGAGGGGTGGGGAGGTGGTATCTCCAGGGACGGTGTGAGAGGCAAGGTGAGGTCCTGGGCTCCTCGGAGGGTGGAGGCCACCGTCACTGAGGCCTGGAGACAGGGCAGGGCAGGGGAGGCTCGTGGGGGCGGCCCTGCTGTCTGACTGCCCATCCCCGCCCCAGCCAAGCAACACCGTCCCCTTAGCACTCAGCAGCTCCGTCCCTCTGTCCACGGCCCACAGGTCCGCCCACCCAATCACCTGCCCAGCAAACATTCGTGACGTCCCTGCTGTGTGCCAGTCACTGTGGGCCCCGAGATTAATAAACAACAGTCTATGTGCCACCCTGATAGCTCAACTGGTAAAGAATCCACCAGCAATGCGGGAGACCTGGGTTCGATCCCTGGGTTGGGAAGATCCCCTGGAGAAGGGAAAGGCTACCCACTCCAGCATTCTGGCCTGGAGAGTCCCACGAACTGTATAGACCATGGGGTCGCAAAGAGTCGGACACGACTGAGCGACTTTCACTTCACTCTGTCCCAACAGGCACTCGAGGGTGGGGGAGTGGGCAGTCAGCAGGGAAGAGTGGGGGGAGGGGGAGGAGAGGGACGGGACCCCCAGGCAGAGTCCTCACAGCGTGATCCCGTCAGTCCTGAGCCCACACAAGGCAGCGGCGTTAGAGCAGGGCCGCTCGCGCCCCCTGAGCCCCTGTGGAGGCCTCAGTGACCACGAGGCTGGACAGGAGGCGGCCAAGCCTGAATCCGAATCGCGGCTCTGCCACTGACTAGCTCCGGGGCTCCGGGCTGGTCATGCAGCCTCTCTGAGCCTGCTCCCGCTTTGTAAGCTGTAATGGTAGCGCCTCAGTGCTGCTGTAACAAGCGATCGCAAACCTGGCCGCTTAAAATATGTGCTTTCGTCTTCCAGAGGCCGGAAGTCTGAAATCAAGGGGTTCTCTGGGCCACAGACCCCGGAGGCCCCAGGGGAGCCTCCTCTCCTTGCCCAGCCTACGGGGTCCGCACGGCTAACGCTGCCTGACTCGCATCTGGGCCTCTGCCTTCCCGTGGCCCCTTCTCCCCGAGCTGTCTCTTCTCTCTCTCATAAAGACATTTGCCTTTGGATTTAGGGTGCACTTGGATAATCCAGGATGCTCTGAATATCCTTAATTACATCTGCAAAGAGGCTTTCCCAAATTCAGTGACACTGACAGCTTCCAGGGGTTGGGAAGTGGACACATCTTTCGGGGGACTCTGTTCAGCCCAGTCCGAAGGTCACTAAGACTCAGGGACAAAGCCGCCCAGAAGGGGTGGAGCCTGGAGGCCAGCCATATCAGAAGTGTTCCCTCAAGGAGGGTGATTTCCACCATGTGCGCTGACACATTTATGAAGAAATAAACCACAACAAAAGCAAATGATAGCAAAGCTGTGCGTGAGCAACAGACGTGGGCTGGGGGCTCTGCTAGGGGGAGGCGAGGTGGAGATGGAGGGAGTCTCCCAAGGCTGAGCTCTGGGGAGGGTGGAGGGCCCAGAGCTGAGACCAGGCGTGGGTGGCTGTGGAGGGAAAGGGACTAAGCAGCTCTGACCAGGCCGTGTGTGCACGCATGGGGTGGGCTTTCTTGCCCAGGGGCTGGGTGGTCAGAGCAGGCGTGCACAATGGGGCCGAGCCAGCAGGGAGGGGAGGGGAGCGGAGGTGGCAGGCGGGAGGCAGGAGAATGGCTTTCAAGGGCCTCCTGTGGTTTGACAGGCTTCTCAGGCTCAGAAGAATGCCAGGAAGGAAGGGATGACAGCCCTTTGTCCAACAGGGAAACCAGGCCTCAAAACAACTGATCCAAGACAGGATATCAGAACAGAGTGGGTTTTGAACCCGACTCTGGATTTCCCAGCTTTAAATCCTGATGGGGAGGCAGGCTTGTCAGGCAGGCCCCAGGACCACTGTGGGTCCCTTTGGTTACTTTCTTTTTTTTAGTTTTATTCATTTATTAATTAGTTTATTTTTAACTGAAGGATAACTGCTTTACAGTAGTGTGTTGGTTTCTGCCCCATATCCACACCTTTGGTCACTCTCACCCTCCACATGATAAGTCATCCCATGGCTCAATGTGCGCACCCACCTGGGTGGTGGTCGTCTGCCTTACTGACCGCCCGCCCATCCCCACTCTACTGGGGTCAGGGCTGTGTGCCTGGATTCCAGACTGCCTGCGTGGAGCCAGAACAAGACTGGGCATGCTCGGACACATTTATTGAGCTCTCACTGCGGGCTGGCCCCGAGGATGGGGTAGGCGTCCCTATGCCCCATTCTACAAAAGCAGGGAAACTAGGACATAGAGAGGTGGATGCCTAGTGGGAAGAGATCAGAAGGAAAAGCAGCCCCAGATATGCAGTGTGAGCCCAGCTCCACCTGACCTGAGGGGCCCTGCTCTCAACCCACAGGGACTCCGTTTGAAAGCTGCCCCACCCTGCAGGTTAGGATGAGGGCAGAGGGCTTTGTTCCCCATTGGATCACATCTGTTACACACCCCCCTGTAGCTGGTGCCATCACAATCGGGCCCAACTATATAACCAGGGGCTGCCAGGGCCTCTGTGAAGCTGGGTCTGCCAGAAGAGGAGGCGGAGGCGGCCCCTGACCCTCTAAGCAAGGCCGCCCCCACCCTCCATGGACAACAAGACACAGAGCCTTCCCAACACCCACACCCAGCCCCATAGCAACTCTCGGCCCCAAAGCCACACCTGCAACCAGTGCAGCTGCAGCCACCACTGCCAGAGCCGCAGCCACAGCCGGAGCTCCAGCCAGCGCCCGAGGAGCCACCGCAGCCCCGCTGGCCACCAGGGCCAGAGCCCAGGCCCCAGCCCTCCTCTGAGGCGCCACAGATACACCATGCACTCCCAACAGTGTCCCTTGCGGCCCGTCACCCACTCCTGCAGCCACTCCAAGAACAGGAAGAACTTGGAGGGAAAGGTGATCAAGAGGAAGCAGGTCAAGAGGAGCAAGAAGGTGTACAAAAGAAAGAAGCAGAGCTCAGGTACCTTGCAAGCCGGTGGCCTTTCACAGGACTCCCCCAGAGAAGGGGGGCGCAGCCCAGCGGGGCTGTAGAGGTGGTGAGGTGAAGGCTGCCTCCGCCAAGTCAGAGCACAGAGGACCCAACAGGCAAGGGAGAAGAGGGAGAGGGAACTGTGGCAGTTGTGTATATCTGATGCGTTGATGGAATAGCTCTTTAATTGGATGGGTTGATTGGAAGGATGGAAAAACGGCAGATTAGATAGGTGGGAGCATGGATAGGTGAATAAGGCTGGGTAGATGAGTAATTAGGAGGTCTGTTAGATAGGGGGCGGATAGAAGGGTTAGATGGTTGCTTGAATGGATGGGTGAGTGGAAGGATGAGGGGAAGGAATGAATCCATTAAATGACTGAGAATCAGAAGGGATGTGATTAGATTTCTAGATTGGGCTGATGCACTGGGAGGGTGAATGAATTGGTTGGCTGGGCAGATGGCTGAGTTGATAAGGGTTTGAACACAATAGGATATCTGGAGGCATGAATAATGAGAGGATATGAATTGGTTAAATAATGGTGGTCTAGGTGGGTGGAGGATCAGGTTAGTGGATGGATAAATGGGTAGATGAACTGACTGGATGGCGAACTGGCTGAATGGACTAACTGGACCAATGAATGAAAGAAAGACAGTGGGACTGGTGGACTGATGTGTAGCCTGGACATGGTTTAAAGAATGAAATGAATGTTGGACTGGGTTGAATTCATGGGTGTATGACAAATGGATGGATTCCCAAGTCAAAAGGACCCTGATGACTGTGTCAGTTCT